AAGCAGTGGTATCAACGCAGAGTACTAAAGGATTCGTGGAGTCTGGCCTCCTACTGTGTCCAAACAGGCACTTCCACATATCAGAAGATATGCCGCGCCGAGCTAGTTAGCTAGCTAGCTCGAAACTCGCATCTTTCAAACTGCTGGTTAAGCGTGTTTTCAAGCACAGTATTACTCGGATGGAGATCCTAGGATTCGCTGAGACTTTCCAACGAATGCGGTGAAGGCAACCAGTCAACCTTTCCTGCTTAACCCTACCTTCAGGTAGATGAGATCCTATACCACACAAGTTGAGCTCTTACACTTGAAAAGTTCTGTGTTGTGCTCAGTACGTCGCCTACACCACGATGAACTTGTGCGCATTGCATGCCTTTGAGCGCTTTCTTTGGAAATGGGTGCCGCACTCTGTATGATTATAACTCAGTCTGACCACTCATCGCACGAAAAACTGCTCAAAACTTTGGTTTATTATAGCCAACAATCCCGTAAGATATGACTTGATGAGGAGTTAGTAAGAGCAAAATTTGAAGCATGTAGTACTGGCACAACTGCACTGCATGTAAAGCGCTTTGACTCCAGTGTGCCAATGCGTCCTTTCAAGAATTCGGATAGCCTTTGCACAAATACCTCATCGTACGAATAAACTCCACTATGAGCTTTCGCGCGTCAGAAATCGAGTTTGTGGCTCAAAAGCTGGCTTACACCCGTGGTAAGGTTGAGGCTCGTTTGTCAGTAAGGCCTAAGGCATACCTCGCGCGATTTGGTCAAATCGCCGCATCCGCGCGACTTGGCAGTTTGCCAGACATTTACAAGTCAACCATGCGCGGATCCTAAATGCATAGGCAGGTAGCTTCCCTAAGTTATAGCAAGAGCTCTAAGTCTGGCCCATGCAAAGCGCGCTTACGACCAGTTGTGAAGAGTTGTTGCAGTGCCAGTTGTGAAGAGTTGTTGCAGCGACTGGCATCGCGTGAGGTATGCCTTAGGCCTAAGAGCGACTATGCAAAGTCGAATCAAGCTTCTTTCACCGCATTCATTGCAAAGGGTCATTGAGTCCTAGGAGTTTCACCTGACAAGGGGAGGATACCAGGTCGCAGTGGCGAACCGAAATGATATGTATATCATTAGTTGCGTCTGGATGAGCTGATTTCAAACTTACTTAGCTTCATTATCTGCTAAGCGACTGTCTAGAAGAAACTATGGGCCGTTGAATATGCAAAGTTAATGGGGTTTTGATGCGTAATATGCTTTGAAAATCAGCTTGGGAGTGATCACTTGGCATTCTGACTGCACTAACTGCAAGGAATGCATACATACACCGAACACATAAATAAGCTGAACAAGTAGTTCTCAATGATGTGGCACTGAATGTTTGCCAAATTCGTACAATCTCAGACGCTCATAACTTCGTTTAGAGTACAGTCTAACAGACAGGAGAATCAGATTTGTAATTGGCTTATCAAGATTATCTAATGATATGCATATTATTTCGGTTCGTCACTGCGATCTGGTTTTTGGAACAATGTAACTTACAATGTGACTTCTTATGCATTTTGAAGCAAAAATGCAGCATAAATTCCTCATTCCTCATAATTCCTTCTAGAAAACGACAATTCCTACGTGTAACAAATGTTTCATACTTTGCAATGTAACTATATACTTTTTTTTATTTTAGTTGTGCTAAACGCCTCAAATTATGCTTTTTAGCTTTTGTTTAGTTATGTTGACTGAACAAACTCTTAATGACTTTGGCGTGAATGGAACTTCGTAAAATTCTGCGGAGTTATGGGGACTTCGTTTTCAATGTTCCAAATCAGCGAGTGCTGAGACTTGATCCCGCCGGCACCAGCTCGCAAATTTCGACGAGGTGCCGGCAAGTTACCGTTGTTTTGTTCGCGAAGTTGCAAGCAGGACCTCCTGCCCTTCTTTTATCTTTCTACACGGAGGTTCTCAAAATGCTAGATTGCGATGCTTTCTTAAACCAAGCATTTTTTTTTGTAAAAATGGTTTTTAAGGCGATGTGACATTTCAGTTTTCGACGAACTCATTCTAGTTGACGGTGCGCTGACAGTGAGAGGTGCCACCAGTCAACCAGCGAGCAACTCAGTTGTCACTCACAAGGGAAGTTCGCCGAATCGAAATGGCTGATTGATACGTGGTATATACCCGGACGCGGGGCTCAGAAAGTTAGTATCAAATGTGCGCCCATTAGCTGCGACGCGTTATTGTGAAGCAAGTTATGGCCCTCTGAAGTTTTTGGCGCGTGCATGTCTAGAGTACGCACAAATGCTCCGACTGTGGTCGTGTGGTGTAGTGGTTAGCATCTCTAACTCAAAGATGACTGGTGAGGGTTCAAATCCTGTTGCTGTCCACATGTTTTGCGTTCTTCTCAAAAATCATTTTTTACCTGTTTTATGCATCATTGAGGTAAAAAATGACACACACGGGTTACGGAATGATTTTTCTCACGAAAATTCGACCAGTGCTCCATATGTAAGATTTTCGTAGAAAATAGCAACGACTTTTTAGCGACGGCTTTTCAGTTGACTTTGAAGATTTGCCAAATCCTCACTCCCACATACTTTCTTCGATTGCACGTAGTATTTACGTAACAATCTCCAAGTTGTATCACGCCGTACTATTGATTCTTGCTAATGGGATACCTTGTGAGAATGACACTGCAGGATGTATAATTAGCAGAATTTAACCACCCGTATGTGCATTTTTTACGTCAGTAATGCATAAAACAGGTAAAAAATGAATTTTGAGAAGAACGCAAAGCATGTGGACAGCAACAGACTCGAACCCTCACCGGTCACCTGTGAGTCCGAGACGCTAACCACTACACCACACGACCACAAACGGAGCATTTGTGCGTTCTCTAGACATGCACACGCCAGAAACTTCAGAGGGCCATAAATTGCTTCACAATAACGCGTCGCAGCTAATGGGCGCACATTTGGTACTAACCTCCCGAGCCCCGAGTCCGGGTGTATACCACGTATTAATCGGCCATTTCGATTTGGCGAACTTCCTTTGTCAGCAATAATCTTAGGTCATTTATAAAATCGTGACGATACATTTGACTGCGATCCTCGCGCCCAAGGAGCATAAAACATTGATACGAAAAGCATCATCTCAACGCTCAGTTCAGTCACTTCCAGTCTAAATGCTGCTACCATACGTAAAGAAAACCATTCGAGTAAAGATGAAAACCAAAAAAATGCAAAGTACGCGCGTGTGCGCGCTTCGCGCCGTCGTCATGATTTTTCGAATGTTCTCTACTAATCTTTGTGAAAGTCGTTGTTGAATCGTAAGGTGTTTTGCGAATAAATCAAAAAAAATCATAATTTATGTAAATGTGCCTCAGACTGTACACGGAGAATTTGGTATTTGATCTTTTGACTCCAAGAAGGCTCATTTTTTACAGAGTTGGTGTTGAATCACAATCAACTTCGAAAGCATCAAATGTTGAAGAGTTGTTTGATGTTTGACTTGTTATTTCTTACAAGGGAACGATCCCAACTTAAGGTGGCGAATTGGAATGAACCGCATACCATTAGATGCGTCTTGATGAGCTGATTCCAAATCTACCTTCCATATCTGCGACAACGTTATTTGCAAAAAGTTATGAGCGGTTGAAAATGTGAAGTTATTGGGATTCTAATGCATAACGTGCTTCAAAATCCAACTTGAAATTGCACGACTAGCATGATATCGAGTGTACTGATTTCACGGAATGCTCACATTTAAGATAAACACAAATAAGTGTTTTTGAGCAGCTAAAAAGCAACTAAAGTTGTCTGGTAAAAGCTATGAGCAATAAAAAATCCAAATTTGGCAAATATACGGCGCCATTTCTCGAAAATTAGTTGTTCAAAAATACTTATTTGTGTTTCTTTAGAATGTGAACATTCCGTGAAATCAGTACACTCAATATCATGCTAGTCGTGCACATTCAAGTTGGATTTTGAAGCACATTATGCATCGAAACCCCAATAACTTCACA